ACCGCAGTGCCATGTCGTCTTCGAGGATAGTGACAGTATAAATCGCGTGAACTGTATGAGGTTATTCACTGACGTTGACACAGGCTTGGTATGACACATACAACAACCAATCAACCTGGTGCAGATGAATATACCAAGAGACAGATGGCTTCTACAAGTCTGCAGACCAAGTGTATCCACTTTCACCCTGAACCGAAAGCGTGAAAATAGTTTATCCGATCTTCGGATATGGGAGTGAACGAACATAAATATCATTTCTTGTGAAAATTAACCCATGGCAGCCAAAGTTGAAAAAGTGAATAGTGGACGCGCATGTTGTGTGAACTGTGCACACTGCCACGGAAACTTCTATGCATTTTAGTTTCACGCCGTATCAAGCTCGAACGGTTTTGCACGACCAAGTTCTCCCCATGCGTTAGTCAAGCAGCACCCTGACAGACGCGAGAATTTCTGACAAACATATCCCTTTTGTCTGTAAAGTCTTTCGACTTAACTTTATAAATCTCAGCGTGTACTAGCTGGTTTTGTGCACGCACAGCTTCTTTACTGCCTGAAATAGTTGCGTTGGTTGATGAGTTAGCTACAGATATCACAGAATGGAATACATTCAAAATTAGTCTTCTACTTTTCTGCTATGATGGGTTAGATGTCGGTAGATATGGTCTCATATGCAACCAGTTCGCGACATGAAAAATTTAGAATATTTTCCCGACTTTTGTGTTGTGTTACATGAACGTTTTTATTCAATTCGACGTGAAATGGCAGTGGTCTGGGAGGAACAANTAACCATGTATAAATTATATTGATTGTGTGAAGATGTGAACAGTGGAAGCTTCTAACGATGAAGACCCGTTTGTTTCAAACTAATTGATTCGCTGAATTTTACTCCGGTCCATTTGTTGACCATAATTCAGCGTTCTGAAGAAAAGAGTCCTGAAACTTCAAACCCATTATGACAATTGGAAGTTACATTGGAAGTTACGTTGGAACACGTTTTGTAAGAAAGCATATACGGCGCTGAATTATGTATAGGTTGTTAGATGCGTGCACTTTGTGTCGTTCGCCAAGGTGAGAGGGCCAACGTGTCTCATGACCTACACACAAAGATAACCATGACGGGAGCAAATATCGAATTCTAGCATTTACATGGACTATGAAACTACGACACACAATTGAGATGTGTGACTGCTGAGGCCCAGCACTTTGTAGTCATCCCGATAAAACAACTTCGAAGAACACCGATCTGATGCACCCCTGTAAACAGAGCTGGTAAACGCCAATCGCACTGGAGCGCGTCTCACATTATATGAACTTCCATCTCCAATTCTTTATCAGTCATCTTAACTGCAAACAAACAGAAACCGACAGAAGTGGCGCAGACCCAACCGGTGTATCTCACAATACACTTATCAGTCATTCTTGGTGCACATGCAGTGTAGGTAGTCAGACAAAAAATAGGAGTAGGCTTGTCTATCAGGCCTTACTTTTAGACTGTTACTTCTTCGCTTGCACACCATCCCTTATCGTAAGACAATCATCAGGCGGAAAGCCGTGTATCCGAATTTCACGGATGAAGGAAAAAAAATTGTATAATATTGCATAGTTTTACTTGGTATACTCCCCGAAAAACACCAAGTTGTGGTAACCAGAAGGCAAAATTTTCATTTATTTGTTCAAATAAAAATGAATAATCAAAGAGGAATTATCGGACACCTGGAAAGTTGTGCCTACACAGTATGTAGGTTCGGCTCATCAAATAAAGCTAGATGTTCGGAGCATATCTCACAGATTGATCACTATTAAATTGATCCACTATTAAATTCCAGATACTGTCCGAATGTTGGTCGTGTACTAATCCGCCAGTGAGCTTTAATATAAATTTGAGCCAGGATTATAGCTCTGCCGACCGAAATCCATCAAGAATTACCAAATGCGTAAACAAATAGCTGATCATCCTCCATGGTAAATAACAGCTGGGGCACACACCTTATATGGCGAATGTTTCTGAGTTATGCTGAACAGTGATGTGTTTAACAAAGACTAGTGAATCGAGAAGGTCACCCAATCCAATAAGATGTTTTGAATGCCTCATTCTGTTTCTTGTAGAGATTTCCTCTTATTTTGAGTGTAATTTTAGTGTTTTTCTGCGATTTCTTTGCCAGGTTCCTAAAATAAGTCGGCTTTCAATGACTGGGATTGTTTTCTGTCTCGATAGGTTTTCCACAATGGCAACCAAAATACCTGTTTGGAGATGGGCCGTATGTACTGAACTAAGATATCGATAGATGACCGGTTCAGTAAGCCGGACCTCGGCGGTTCGAATCCTTCTTCAGGCGCCTCACTTCACTCATACTACGTATAATTTAGCTTCTAATTTCAAAAGCGAATAAGTCAGACCAGCATAACCTTTACAGTAGTACAAGGAGGAGAGAATGCGCGGTGTAACAAGGAGAGTCCTAATCATGTGAACCAAGGCAGGCACAACAGCAAGCAAGCAAGGCTTGTGAACTCAATGAAACAAGCTTGGAGGGCGTTAAGCAAACGATGTCGTTAGTATGTTACCAGGCAACGTTGTTATGAAATAAAACTTTCAAAGTATATAATGCACATCCGAAGCAGCAGGCAATAAAGAACGCTACCGCCCAAAATCTTGCTTCTCTGGTTACCAACTGTTCTGGCAAAAGTTAAAGCATTTTTCGGCCTTTGAGAAATACATATTTGCAAATCAGTTTGGTTTTCACGGGTGACTGCTCCTACCTGACGAGCTCCAAGAAGGGCGAAACCGGTCGTGGGTTATCAAACAGTTTTCAGCAGCCTTATGAGTAGTTTTTTTTATGAAAATATCCTTCGGTCTTGTTCGTTTACTGCTACCTCATTGTGGAATTAGCCTACTCTCACAGGAACAACTCACTTTGGCGTTGCCTTTAGACCTGCATCCACACCTAGGTTTGAAGTTTCACTTTCGACTCTTCCTGTAAGTCCGTTTACCTGGCTCACTTATATGGCTTGTATTACGGCTAGGGTGATTATCCGATTGCCATCATCTCATTTAATCACACCTCTAAGACTGGTGTCCAGATGGCTTTTGGAAACAGATATCTTACTTCCTATTACATCATTAAAACATCTTGTTCCCAAAGTTGAGCTGACTGGTATTCAATCTCGGCAGAAACCTACATCAGTGAACCAAATGGTATCTTTTAGCCAAAAGGCAGTCAATTGTCTTCACTCGGTCTTGGCGATAAGTTAATTGTTTCACGCTGCCAAAAGATGCTTTCAAGAAATCGCCCGCCATAGTAAAGCTTTGTATCAAACCATCTATGGGTAATGAATCATAAAAGAAAAATTTATCTTGGTTTCAGATGAATCTCTGGCAAAACAAATTGGTTTGCAGATGTGTGAATTTCGCCCATTCTAGAACTTATCCATCATGCAAGACTATTTTACCATTCATTTGGCAGAGTATTTTGGGATTTGAAGAAATCCGAAGCCAAGGTGGTACGCAAAGTTTCATGATCAACTTCAGGAAAAAGGAACATAATCGGTTTGTAATAAAAACAAATGTAGTGAGGGCAAGTCCCATTGGAAAATCCATCTCAAATTTATATGATACTGATCGTAAATCACCTTCGCAGTTAGAAGAACTGAAGGCTATAGATGTGAAGAAAATGTATGACCGGAGAGTAATAATCAGTGAACCACTGAGTCTAGTGCATCACACTAATGTCCAGCAACCCAAGTTCTTTTTAGTGCACAGCTGTAGGTCACTTAGCTGGATTTTGTTGAATCTGCAATAGATAGTATTTTGAATTTCACATTCGTTCTTCAACATCCACTAGCAGTTCGTTTTAGAATGGTCTACTTTGTTACACCCTCACTGCCATGGACAAACACAGCTTGTAAGTAGCAGAAACAGAGAACTGGATTTTTTTCTCATGTGTCATTAGCGAGATGCGTGCAATCTACTGCTAGCGCGTCTCTCAAAGAGAAACAACTTTCAAGCTGGCAATGTGCATTTTCATCGGAATTCCGTCCTGTAAGTAAAGGCAGTCTGTACTGAAAAGCCGGAAGGCACTGTACAGCCGTTCCATCCTTACTGAGAAACTTTTGAAGTGCGCCTGTCACGGAACGCCAGGGAATCTCAAACTCGCGATCTTCCGCCTAGTAGTCTAAAAACCTTAACGTTCGATCACAAGAGACTGATCAGCAGCCTGATTAACTCACAATTAAACAGGGGGAATTTAATCCGTCAGATAGGTTAAACTTTCATATGAGAAGTAACTGCTCAAGTAAAACCAAGTAACCTGGTGATGTGCATCCCATGATTAGAGGTTGGGTGGCCCCATATCCTATAAAAATGCAAGCTAATCACGGTGATGAGTATTCACTTGTGACTGAATGGCTAAGATTTCAAACCTCAAACCAGGAGATCGCTGGTTCGAGACTATCTAGATTTTTTGAGGTGATTCCCAGGTTCCAAGCATAGGTTAAACTATTTTGAATTTTCTCTATTAAGGTTTTTTAACTGTTATCAAAATTTAAACCATCTTAGAGTTACTTCGTGGGATTCGTACAACAGAATTTGCATAAGGAATTGTCTCCTGCCGGTTCAGTACCCATGAATTAACTTTTCTCTGTGTGATAAAATCTGTAGAAACACTTCGTTGTAGTTGAGTGTTATCTGGGCATGAGATGAAAATACAATCAATGGTGTGGTGTGATTGGTCTTCTAAGGGAGGACGTCTTACAGAATATAGGAACAGAGTTTCACGCTGATAAAAATCTGGAATACAAAAGATGTTTCTGTGTTCAGAGTCTTCATGAACATTTTATTCTATTTCGTAAAAGCACCAATCAAATGAATTTCCCGATTCCTTTGCCGATTGGCCAAGTTGAACTTTCACACGTTTGGTAGACGTTCGTTCGCAAGGTGTATCCTACTTCTCAGAACATAATCGTGGCAATCACTCAGCAGTTTTGCGAAATTCTGTTCAACAGTTATGAATTTCAAACCACCGGATTTACCTCTGTTTGCTAAGTTTGTCATAAGCATACTCGTAAGCATTCTTGTTGCCATAGCCATCTTTGGAAATATTGCTGTGATAATTCTTCTAACCACGCACAGGCTGTGTTGGAAAAATCGTTCTTCCACACACAATGGACGAAAACCCCAAATTACGGGACATTCGGCCACATGCACTTTTCTACTAAATTTAAGTGTCGCAGACTTGTTACATGTGGTGCTTTGTGCCCCGTTTACCCTCGTTTCAGATTTTCTATTAATCTACTGGCCCTTTGGTGAAGCGCTATGTCGGATTGTGAATTATGCACAAGGTTTGGTTGTATCCCTTTGCGCGTTCACCCATGTCGTACTGTCATTGGATAGACTTACAGCTATCAAATGTCCGATCTGGCGGCGACGAAAGTTGTCATCTTTCGGAGCTCGAATAATTGTGCTTGGGATATGGCTATGTGCAATGACGATACCGCTACCTTGTTTGTTTGTATGCCATGTGGTCATTGGGCCCATGGGAAAGACATACTGTCAAGAGATATGGCCAAGGACACCTGAGAATTACTCAAACTTTACAGCGTCGGACAGGTGGAATGTTTTGCCAATAAACGGTACCCCTTCATATGAACGGCTGCCTGATTACCTCAGTTCGCCACTTGAGGTTGCCTATGGATTGACCTTATTACTCTTTCAGTATGCAATCCCTTTGACTGTAATAACAGGAACATACCTAGCCATAGTCTATCGAATATGGGGCAAACGACCACCGGGGGAATGTGATGTTCAAAGAGATGAAAAGAGGTCCACGGCAAAAAAGCGGGTGAGTTAATGGATTGTTAAAGTGTTCTGAGTGGTAAATCAATCGTGCAGTCAAAACAACTGGCTACACTTGACCAAACATTTTGCAAAATTTGTTCATCACACTTATTTTTCAGAAACTCGGCAGGACCACAGGAATTCGGAAATGAACTACAATCGCTGTCTCTTGCTTAGAACAACAACATTGGTCGGCATAATCACTGAGGGAAGGCATTCACACCAGTTCCTGTGCGTAAACTAAAATGTACCTGTTAGCGAATATAAACTCATCTGCAAACTAATTTGGTTCTTTCGAGAGACTCACCTGGAACCCAGCTGAATCTCTCGTTTATGATATTCTCAAGCAACTGAATGTGTTCCATCAGGCCACCTCATGTTTCAGTCGCTACGATATGATATTTATCGCGATACATGTACAAATTTGTAGTGNATAAGGTTGCGAAAATCCATCGACAGTCCACGACCGGTTTCGTCCTTCTTGTGGCTCATCAGGTAGGCGCAGTCCCCGGGTTTCCGTCAACCTTATGTTCTACTTGAAACCAAATTGCACGGAATTAGCCTGATGAGCCCCAAGAAGGACGAAACCGGTCGTGGGCTGTCGATGGATTTTCAGCAACCTAATGAGTAGTACATTACAAATACAAAAAGTACCTGGTTTTGCGCAAGACTCAGCTCTGTCGTAAAAGGTGAACATAATTGTCCTCGTAGCTCAACAAATTTTCTGATTGTCCCAGTTGATACTTTATACTTTGATCATTGGCCAAACGTTCTGCTTACTGCATACAAATAGTTGATTGCTGACGAAGGCTCGGAATATTTCTGTCTGAATAGCCATCACTCATCTAGGTCAGTCTGTTAACTACCAAGCAATGGGCTTTGAATTTTCTAATGTATTCGGAATAAAGTTGTTTTTATGCCTGTAGTAAGAGTCGGCTTAAGTTGCGGTGTTTTTTATCAGTGTCAGCTTATATTGGTGGGATCTGACAAGAATGTATCCGGCCTACCACGAAAATGACGAAATAACCGACAAAACGTTTTTCTTGTTTTCGATTACGTTGCTTAACTCCATAATGCAGCACGATCGACAGGTTGGCGTAACCTTTTGCACAGTATTGTAGTTATACGGTCGGAAATCGACGTCCCGCTTGAGCATATGAGTAGTCGTGAAGAAAGGTTGCATGCTGAGAATGAGCTTAATTAAAACAAATTTCGAAACCTTGTTGTCCCGTTGCTTACCGCCCATTAAAATCTTTTTTTGCATTAGTTCAACCGCTAGATGCTCATATTGAAGCAAATGAATGTGAAAAGGTTCCCTTTTGGTTGGTACAACCTCCAACCAGTTTCTACGGTTTAGGTGGCTGTTTGGTTTACAGCTTGTTTCAGCAATTCCTTATGCAGTCGCAAGTACACGGTCAGTTAAATAAGTGATGATGTCAGTCAGAACATCCATCAATCAATTTCACAAATGTAAATTCACAAAAGGATGCAAAACTTCAGCCTGGGCCTGCTGTGACCACTGCCTTTCCTGGAAAGGAAACCTTCAAGAAAACTCAGAAGATTGTTGGGAGTAAGCCACAGATCTTTACTCACACCATCATTTGGTTAGATTAAAATTTCAAACTCATTTACAAACCATCAATCTCATGACACTTTTGTTTGATAATCTAGCCTCTTTCGATAGGGGCTTCCGTTGAAGGTGAAAGTTATGGAAATGTACAGAACAGTAGTACGACCTTCTGCCCTGTCTGGATAAAACAGAAAATTTATGTCCGCATGGAATTGGTGGCAATCTATATTTTGAGGGCCTAAACGGGGTCACTTTTAGCAGGTATAAGACAACTATCATCCCCGTGCATTATTCCCCGTAATTCTCTTTAAAATTATCACTGGGCGGGTTTTGCTGTCAGTCAGCACAACTTATTGTCATGTATGATCATCAGTTGCCAAAACCTCATCTTAACTGACAGGTTATAATCCCGCCTATCTCAAAGTCATGAATGCCTCGAATCAAATTTCCGGGTTCCAATTTAACTTTCCTATTCATCCTCATTCGTCTTTCTTTTCACCATTTGCGATTTTCATGCCAAATCAAGGCTACCTGTCAGATTTGCCATGTTATTAAACCTCACCGCACCAGTCCACAAAAATGCCGTTGTTAATACTAACAATAACCGAGGACTATCTGTAACTAGCTTTTGCTATTGAAATTCTGCATACCTTTACGTGAGTTCAACTGTTTGCATGAACCAGAATTTCACCAGACTACTGAAACCTAATCCACACATCTAAATTTTTCGTGTGGATATTTCCATGTTCTATCTGGGATTATAGCTTCCAGTTGGGGTGGCTCTAAACGGATAAGCCGATTTTTCTCCTTGTTGTGAATCATCAACGGGATCATTGCACGGGCCTCTAGGGAGGCTGAGACCCGCAATGTTCCGTTTGTAGTTGAACATCAAACAGGTCGACCAGGTATAGCCACTTACTTTCGTCCCAAATTTATCGGTAGCAAACACCATCGGTCATCTGCATGATCGAACGGACAGATACAGCATGTTGACGGTCGAATCCGAGCCTCAGACTTATTGACTGATTCGTTCAGTCGGGAGCTGGGTGATGGACCTTGAGAATTTGGTTGATCGTCCCAACGGCAAAATTTCATCGACTAAAAGCTAATCTACGTTTGCGCATAATACGGAACCGTATTCCTCGAAGAACCGCAAACGGCGTTCGTGTAGACTTTGCTAGCCACATTTGATTAGTAAGGTTAGAAAATCAAATGAAAGAACAAAATTTGCTCATTTCACTATGACCGTACTAATTACCGATACCCCTTTTTCAACTTACCACATTCGTTAATCTACATGCCTATACTGAAGAGCTTAATCCATTTTCTTGAGTCTACACTGAACAATGATGGCAAGGGACCTTACTCTTATCAAGTTTATTTGTTTACTGGATTTCGGTCTTCGCACCTGTTAATTATATAAACAAAAGAAACTTTCAGGGGACTAAGAACGCTTCTTCATCAAAGGAATCTCTCTCGATAAAATGTTGTCATGCCATAAATTAGAGCTAAGTAAACTGACGCCGATCTGCCCAGGAACGTTCAAACTAGAAGTCATAGGAGTGCGATACGTGGGGGATTATACTTTCTGGGCTCGGGCTGATGATAAAAAAACCGAGGCTAATAAATTAGTTTCTTGGTGTCGCCTGAATAATAACCTCAGCATCAAATTATCTAGATAAAATGAAGCAAGCCTTTAAAAACAGAACTTCAAGTGATGTTAGGGCTATCCCACCATGATGGTAATCTAACTGCATACCTGGCTAATAATGTCATAAATTCTAGTGAAGATTCAGTTCAGACGTACCTCCTAGGTACAGCACACCATCAGTAATCATAAGAGTGAGCTGTATGTTTAAAGCCTCTGTTCACTTAACACAGCTTAATTGTTTTGACCACAATCTCATTAATTGGGAGAAAATATAAGGCCACTCGCACCATCCTAGTACCGTGCCCATCGGCTTGATCAAAGGCAGCACAACTTCCATTAAGCATTTAATCTAATGTCTCTCATTCTTATTGCCCCCGAATTAGGCTTCATCACAACTTATTTATGTTTACGGGTTCAGGCTTATGAATATGTCAGATCTTCACGCTGAAATATAAAAAAGGATTGCTCCGCACAAAACAGGTCGTTCCCAGTCCATAAGTGAGATCATTGAAGTTTTTCTAAGAACACTTTAGTCCCAAATTACACCTAAACCATCAACATATTGCATCAACATGCCTAGTTAGGAGATTTTGATTTGAAGCTGCGTTGCGATGTCAAGTTAACATTAAACTATCCTGAACCACAAACGTTTGTTTATGCTACACACAAAATGTACATTTGTAAAATGTCGCCAAGATCAAGTGACATTCATTTACCACGACCGTTCTGCGATGGGTTTTGGGCAGTGATATAGTTCTTGGGTGGCACATCTGACACAGCGAGCAAAAATGTTAGAAAAATTATGCTTTGACGAAGGAAAACCTCGCAGGTTGCAATTCTTTCCTCTATAATGTCAGAGCACCATTTGCAGAACACTAGTGTAAATGTTTATCCGGATTAAAGCACCATCCCTTGCAGAATTTGTTTTTAGCACTGCGCTTCATCAGACATCGTTAAAAACAAATCGTTGCTGCACCTAGTTACGAGTAAACTTAGCGCTTCGTAACCTCAGTAACCTTAGCTGGAATAACTTATAATTTATGTGTCACATCCAACATCGTTTCCGATCCACACATTCAGAAAAAATTCTCTTGCGGCATTGAGAATGCTTTGCGCATGGTCACTTAGATCTGAGAATACAGCATTTTTAGAAGTCTCCAGAGAAAAAGTGTGTGTACCAAAAAGTAGCTTTTCTGCTCAAAAGTTAATTTTGTCGCAGAATTCTCCAGCCATAATCACTTAAACGGTAATGACGGGCTGAGACAAGACGGTAATTAGAGGCTCCTAGATCGGATTTTAATGTCTCATAAAGTATATATATAGGAAATGGTCGAATGGTTTATTCTCTTTATTATTTCGGAGTACAACAACCGCATAATTTTGTTTCAGTGATCGGTATCCTTTTATTCTGTAATACTACAGAAGTAGCGATGTTAGTTATAGTACATGAAATTACAAAATTACTGAAATAATGTTCTGAGTATAAAAAACCACAAAGTGAGAAGCATCATAAAATCAGAAACAGTTACGATGATATCCGTATAAACAGGACCTCTTCGGATGAGGAAGTACAATAAGGTGTAAATCCAAAGGAATGATGTAGACTCCCCTAACTAGCAATATTGGGCGTAAGCTGAACAATAAACAGGTGCTTTTTTGTTTGGTCTAAATTACGACAAAACTCATAGTGGATTACCTCTTCAGGGTAGACCACGTCTAGTTTAGACAAGAGCCATTTGTTTGTACGGGATGAGTTACCGGCACGAAAAAGGAATTTTGTGCGAGAAACTCGTCCAGATAAATCGAGGTAGATTGAGTTTGGCTAATTCAATATTGGCCACTAAAGGATGGTGATTAAAGGTCTACAGTTTAACACATCTAACCCGTCCTATAAAGATGATCTAGTCAATGCACGAAACTCTTCTTCCTCAGAAGATTTTGCCAGAATCAAGGAGGAAAAGTAGAAAGTAATCAGAATATTTCGGATGTACACATATTTACACATCCTTGGACATTGGGTATTATCATGAATAAAGGTGTGAGAAATTATTGAATGAGAACCAAAGTATGCGTTTTCTCGCCAATAAAAGAGCTTTCTCAACAAGGATGAAGCTAGGACATATGGCAATATACAATGCGTTTCCTAACACACAATTAGGAAGTTTATTTATTAGCTACTTAAATTTCACAAAATTGCATGTGAATTTGACGTTCAAAAAGCTACCTACTGCCTTGTTGAATTTCAGCTTTCTTGAAGCAAACATCCAGTTAGAAAGCATCTTGAAATGCGAACCATGCGGAATGTCCCTATGTGGGATTTCTTATAATGAAGGTGTACCTTGGTTGGCTCTTTAATTCGAACAACCTGGTGATGTATTCCACTGACTAGCTTGATTCGCAAAAATTTTTTTCTATTTCGGAGCAGCTAGGAGCCTTAGTTTTGTGAATTGGTTTTGGTACGGCTATCATATCTGGTGACTGTTTCCTCGTCAAAAGATATCCGGAACACGCAGTGCATTGCCTATAGAAGACGATAGGTTCATAAAAAGATGGTTGAAAGAGTTCAGTTTTACACGAACATGTTTAATCGCTTGACGGAAAAATCGGCTGATGAAATTTGTTTTGGTGCACAAGTATCATAAGGAAAAATCTAAAGGTCCCTCTTTTTGAATGAATCACAAAAAGGTTGGCACCTGTATCCTTGCTATTTTTAACACGGGATTGGGCGATTCTTTCACTACACAAAAACGCTAACTAGTAGATCCTCACAAAGGAGAATGTCAGCATCCCAGGAGGCGCAGTATTGAACGTGATACAATAAAAATAGTGTTAATGTGTAACCTTACGTCTGTAATACTGTTGTCGCCGGTGTGTGGGGTGATAAAATGAGGAGTGGCTCCTAGTTTAAAGGCGACGACGATGACCATAGCTGGATCTCGAAATGGGGGTCTATGATTTTAATCGCTCCAATGTTCAAAACAATAAATACGCCAAAATGTCGCGCGGAATGTTGCACCAACTGAACTACATGAAAACTTTCCAGTGCAGAATAATTTGCCATCTTTGGCGGTAGAAATATTTGAGTATTCAGATAATTTTGTCCATGGATAAACTATCCAGCCAAATTTAGCGAGGTACTGCCAACGAATCGCGATTTGGAGTGGCTAAGTACTCAATACCGATATAAAAAAACGTCACCACCCAGTATCTCTTAAATCGAACGGCGTAAACTTGATGTATATCCTAACACGGTAGAACTAATGCGAACAACCTAGGCAAAGAGTAGGGATTATACACTTGGATTTGTGAAGTGTGGGTGAGCTGAGGACGTGCTTGCCTGCATACGCCTGATAACTGAGTTAAACCTCTTCTGGTTGCGTCATGATGGATTGGTGTTTATTCCCAAGTGTCGGTGGTTATATGTTAACCTGACTGCCTAAAAAACGAAAAGGTAAGGAGCACCCTGAAACTCGCTTCATCTCTCGTAATGTGTGTCAGACCCACTGGCCATATAGGTGAATATAGGATGTGATCCAGATTCTCGCTCTACAAAATAGCCATCGTTTACCTTGGTTTCGACGGTAATTTACCCTCGTTACCTTGTGCCATTGCGCACAAAGAGCCGTAATGTAGACAATCAGTTTGCCTTCAGAGCTGAAGCTGCCAACTTGGATGGTTTATATAGTTGTCGATCTATTGAGTGCATCTATTTTACTTTTGCTTGATTTAAAAAATGAGTTCTTACATTGCGCTGAGATCAGAAAAGATTTCACTGCGGCAACTGTTTCACTCTTCTCTGCTGTAAAACTCCATTGAATATGTTGAAGCTTGAAAGTATACACATATCCCACCTACGCCAAGAGTTGTTATTTATGGACCAAATTAAAAGCGATGGAGTAAGCAGCGAGATACAACTTCAGTAAGGTTAAAACGGGCCACTTAGGTTAAAAAAGGAACGCTCCTTTCTGGTTGATCAAACTGCCAAGTAAGCACGCGGATATGGGACCGCCACTTACGAGTTGAGAGTAATTCTTCTTTAAGGTTTTGATGTTCAAACAGGCAAAAACATGTCTACTAAAGTGCAAGCAGAGTTTGGGATTTTTCAACTGAGGTTTCGTGCCGCAAGTGAAACGAATTTGCACTGAAAAGCACTGAAGTATTGTACGGCTGCTTCGTTCCTGTTGTGATCATCAACAGTCTCAGGAAACTTGGAGAGTTTGGAATTCGTGAACCCCCGACCAGTAGTTTGAATACCTAGCCGTGCGACCACGAGCCTTTTATTAGCGTTGCGATCACTTCCCTTTTAGACAGGATTTAGCGTCACTTCACCTTCAGTCGCAGAAACCAGATCATGTGGTCACGCTTTGACTGTTTCTTAGTGACAGTTTCTCACACAGCAGTTTCACTACTCCAATAAAATTATTCTTCCCTCTGAGTTCCCTTCCTTCAAAACCCCATTAGGTCTCATGAGATGCGCACCGGTGACGGTTCTCAATAAAAATGAAATAACCATACGGTGCTTTCCGACTTCTCATGACAGATTGGCTTCAGTTGATTAAAAACAAACGTTTGCCAGATGGTTGCTTGGGATGTGTGCAGCTCATCAACACCCAAATTACTAGTATTACTCCACCGAATAACGAGTTAAGCATACGATCGCTCCTGAGCAAAATATTCTCAGCTGATTAGACTGAACCACATTCGTTTTCATTATGTCTGTATCGACGCTGTTTTGGCAGACGTTATGGATGCCATGTGCAGGAACTTCAAGGTGACTGACATCTTCCAGGACGATGTTATTCATCCTTATGAAGTTCTCCTTGTGGAAGACAAACACAAAACATGTATTCTATAGAGCAAAATGTCGGTAGCTCAGGTGGCATAGATGGTGGTCGTTGGCTTGTTCGCTGAACTGGGCAGTTTGATTGCAAACGTTTCATCACCAATCGAGGTGATATCATCAGTGCGTTATTGGTGGTTGTGCACAACCACCAACCCACCGCTACGCACTACTACGCTTAACAATAACGTACTGATGATGTCACCTCGGTTGGTGATGAAACGTTTGCAATCAAGCCGCCCAGCTCCGCGAACAAGCCAAAGACCACAAAACATGCCTAATGGGGCAAAAGTAAAGACAAATGACACTCAGAAAGTTGAGAGCTTATGTTTCTCATGCATTTAGTCTATTTAACAGCCTCAGTGCATAAACTACCGCAAGATTTTCTGAGGATGGGAGTAATTGGTTCAGTTATTTTTAGAGGCCAACCAATAATAGAGCTTATTTAATCTAGCTCTCATTCCACAACCTCTGATTCCAACACAGTTTTGGTGTGGCCGGCACCTTAGGTCACCGTCTGGCCGCTTTGCATTTGTCCAGTTGTGCCATGAAAAATCTGAGGAACAGGAGCAGCACAACAATAGGGACAGTCTCACATCTGAATGACTTCGAAATCCTTCCACTAAGAAAGACGGATTTTTTATCCTCATTGAATTCGTCGATACCTCCCTATCGTAGGTTTTGCTCTCCTCCTAAGGTCAACTCGTTACAAAAGCTGTTGTGTATGGATATTATCTAGGCTAGTTAGATGTGTCGGCATATTTTACAAGATTGGTGCTCATAGATAGAACACAGAAAGAATTTTCTTCGCCAAATTTACACGTCCCCAGCGACTGAAATTTCTGGGCGAATACCAATATAACGATATTTGATGCCAGCAGAATTTTAGGAGTAAATTCTGACAGGTTAATTAGGATATTAGCGGTTTTTTCTCGTGAGAGCTTTCCATCTAACATACTGTGAGCGCAATCTTCCCGGCAAAAAAACATCTACGCAACCAGAAATGTTGAGAATGCCCTTCAGCAGTATTAAAGCTAAAAGGACCAAGACAAAGTTCATTTTTCTGTATGAAGACATTCATTTTCAACCTCAGCAGACAAGGGAAGTTTTTCCCAATGCCAATTTGCCGAATTCTTAACGAACATAGCTAGTAAAAATAAAAACATGCATACAAACATCTCACTTCTTCAATGTCACATAAATCGAGCCAGTTTTAGAACATGTGGCATGAAAACTTGCCATGAGAGCTTCAGCAACCGATCTTGCTGCGAACAAATCTGTACATTCCTGGTTTTTTTGTATTAAAAGATTAATCTCCGAGGGAAGGGGCAATCCATTTGCCGAAATCGGACACCTGTTATAATTTCTCATGAATAAATGAATATGTTAATGTCTGCTATACTATGGGCAGATTGGACAGCGTTAAATTCATCCAGTTCACTATATCAAGAGGGTGTCAGTTCTGTGAATTGGCAAGTGAAGGCAAATTGGTCCATGGTTCAATCCGGTTACAGACACTATGTCTGGTAGCCAGAATCGAAGGACGACCTGAGAGAAAGCAGAACAAACTACCTGTCGGTGGATTGGGAATGATGGATGGGTTGCATGTAATTCCACGGAGAAGATAAAAAAGACCTGGCACTCTACAGCCTACACCTGATCACGGATTTGTAAATGCTCGTGTTTTTGGTGGCGAACTACTAGAAACGATGCCATGGATTTTTATAGATATCATGCGTTTTCACTGAAACAGCTTCCAGAAACATTGTATTCTGGTATGCAATCTGAGTTCTATTGTTTGGCATGAAAACATACAGATAAGAATAAGTAGCAATCTGGCCGACACCGCGACTACTGATTGCACCAGGAATCTACATAAAATTTTGGAACAGCCTTGGTGTAAACCTCCTCTTTTAGTTCGTTCATACAGGGAGGTCAGCGAATATCACAATGTGATAACAATGTTGATGTTCACTGCAAAGTAACATAAATAAAGACTCAGTCCGGAAAGGAAACTATGCGTAGCACGGGTTGCTACGTTTAAGTCAGTGCAGCCCGAAGTTATGGACAAACTGTTCCAGCTTGCGCAAAATCGGATCGTGTGAACGACGTGTGCTGGACCGAATGTTGGTAAAAGCAATAATCGAAGGCCCTTTTCTAATCGATTAGCCAAAAGGCTGAATTTCGGTCCACAGTATAAGCTTCCTTGCTCAGTTTCTCAACTGCATTGCATCCTTCAAATTTCCTGCCCTGTATTTGCGCGAACGGTTTGTTTTTAATAGAATGTCACATAATTTATTTAGCATCAACCGAAGTGAAATTAAAGGAGGATACACATATCCGTGAGGTTTTTCGATGCACATCTTTTCTGCTACACTGAGCGATCGTGAACTGACTGGCCAGGTAACGGAATGAACATTTGACTAAGTGTCGTTCAAATTCGATTATTTGTCGGTTCACAAAATTTGATCGGTAGTCAGATAAGTCGCTGTTACTTCGTTTGAAACCGATCATCATTGGCATTTCATTTGTCTTTTGTGTGCTTCTCTTGACAAACCTGCCAGGATAACACCTGCGTTCGAGTATGTTAGCCTCCTACATGACTCCTCCGAGTCACTGAACAACATCAATGCAATCAAATCAGTCCAATCAACTTTAAAATCTTTTTTTGTTTGGTATTTCATCCTTGCTCACAAAAATCCTAAGTTTAGAACGTTGAGTTTTCTTCGAGATTGCGTGAGAAAAGCGAAGTCTGCATTGGTCAAACAGTGGCGTACATCTTAGAAGCTGTGTGATTGTCCTATACCTGGCTGCCAGATAAATTTACAATCTTCTGCAATAGGTCCATCGACTGGTATCTATGACCAACGCAGAGAGCGCAGGATAGCAAAAAGTCACTGATCAATGTAACTGTGAGTGCAAGTTCCTTCGTTGTACAGCTGATCTGAATGAGTGGCTGATGTGTCGTGGATCCACTCAACTGAGTGCTTTTGAAATAAAACTTACGAATGAGCTAGTAAACAGCAACGTCATACCATTTTTGTCATCTTTCTAACCCGACAAACCGAATTATGCCCTTCGCTACGTAGGTGGAGTTCGTCACTGATCCTTTTAACGTCGCTGTTTTAAAACAGTATCGCACGAAATTTATGTATATACCCATCAGTTAACCCTGTAATTGAGCTGGGGCTGAAGAAACTCCAAACGGATATGTTGTATTGACAGGTTCGTTGGCAATGAAGGCTGATGATGACTGATGGTAGAAAAAGAGCTATTTAACTGATCACCCACTAAAAGTAATTATTTCAACTGACCCATAACTACTCGACTATTAGTGAAACCTAGTCAGATATTCATGGCGTCACCTGGCCAGTCTGTTCACGACTATTCAAAGTCGCGCGAACAAATGCGCTCAAGCCAACTTTACGGATGTTGACCTTCATTCCGGTCTCGTTTTATCCAGATTAACTGGTCAAACCTCCAGACATTTATGTGAAATCTTATGAACATCATCGCGCCTGGGTGAATAAAGGGGAGAAAATTTTATAAGAAGCGTAGTCACTGAGCACCTGACTAAGGGAACTCATATTCCGGACTGAAAGTTAGACCTATGGTTCATTAACAACCAAAGTTCTTAGGATTGCTAGTCTTGACAACAATGGAGGCTACCACAGGTCGTTCACATGATCGGATTTTGCGCAAACAGGAATAGTTTGTCTAAAACTTCGGACTACACCGACTCAGGCAAGGAAGTTGATAATCGCCGAGAGTAATGGTTGCTCCGATATAGACCGAACGACGTCATCCTCCTATAACGAGTTGACAGCTCGCGGTCTACCTTCTCGTAAAGTTGATGAGCTTTCCATCACATGTTTTATTGTCCTCCTGACTGCAACTGTTTCATGAAAGTGGGAGTTTATGAATGCTGTTAGCCAAAGGCAACAAGTGCGACTCTTAATTGATCCCAGTTTGGCGACTTAAATCCCCCATTCTACTTTCACCTTCGTTCGCGTTATCTGCCTTTAAGTGAATAGTTTAACCGTGCACTGCATTCATGCTTGCCTTTGCCACTCCGGGTTTCCTCGCAAACAACTGTTCGCAACGCCAGTTGTTCCTCTAAATGGTTCATGGCACCAGGGGTTTCTTCTCCAATTTATCTTAAAATCAGTAAGTTATTAGAGTCAGTTTTTCGCCATAAATGCCCTTGTCCTGCAAACAGACCATACATCCTTTAAAATTTACGACTGGATACCGTAAATTCTTCCATTTCAAGAGGGTTAAGCTGCACATGCATTAACTTACTTATTCGGCGGGAGTGCGATAGAGAATATGCTTTGTTCGTGTCCAAATGCGTATTGAGGCCTTACCACATCCACACCAAATACAATAGATGAACGTCAATTCCCATAGGCAGTGAACTCTGTGCTGATCTCCCTTAGTCGCGTAATCATCATTAAGTTACTCAGCATTCCCCAGTCAGCACAGAGGCCTGATAAAACAATACCTTAGTTCTTTTTATACACCGACATCTATCTTAAACAGAATCTACCAACGTGTTCAGCTTTTGCCGGAGACTCAACTGAATCCTATCTGAATCCTTGTTTTATCGCTCCTCCTATCCTTAATATACTGCACAGAGGACACTTCGTGTTTCATTTCGTACGACATTCAAGATAATAAAGAATATTTTCTTGAAGGAAACTACTTGCAAGTTTTCAGCAACCCGATGAATAGATTCTCTCACGAAAATACACTACCAAAATGTTGTTTCCAAAAGAGTTCGGACAGTGATAACAACGTCGTTCTAAGGAGTCACGAAATATGGCCGGAAGTCTTGGAACTGAGGACC